TGTGGGCACATCCCCAGTAGGGGGTGTGCAAGAGGCAGCTGATTGATGATTCTCTCTTGTCGATGTTTCTAGCTCTCTATCCCTCTCTCTTCCTCTCTGTAAAAAAAAAAAAAAAAATATATATATATATATATATATATATATATATATATATTTTTTTTTTTTTTTTTTTTTTTTTTAAATGCTATTCTTGCCAAAACCGGTTTGGCTCAGTGGATAGAGTGTTGGCCTGCGGACTGTAGGGTCCCGGGTTGGATTCCGGTCAAGGGCATGTACATTGGTTGCAGACACATCCCTGGTAAGGGGTGTGCAGGAGGCAGCTGGTCGATGTTTCTCTCTCATCGATGTTTCTGGCTCTCTATCCCTCTACCTTCATCTCTGTAGGAAATCAATAAAATATATATTTTTTAAAAATGCTATTCTTTAAAAAAAAAAAAAGAAGAAGAAGAAGAAGAAGAAGAAGAAGAAGAAGCAGCAGCAGCACAGGGGTGGCTGGGAGCAGGCAGGAGCTCTGTGAGCCGTCCTGGGGATCCAGGGGGAGCATTGTTCCCTGTCATCCGAGCCCCAGAGGAGAGGCACTGTCCTTACCCATCATGCCCTCTGCCCACGTGACCCCTCACCTGCAGGGCGTGTCCTGTCCCGCGGGGCCCGGGAACTTCCCCAGAAACAAGCCTGACTCACACTCCGTCAGGCTGGTGAGGCCCAGGGTCACCCACTCCAGTGCCAGGACCTTTCCCCGTTTCCCATGTCTGCTCTGGGCTCCCGGCCTCCTCCCGTCGGTTTCGTGTGCGCTGTCTCCACTCGTCTTTCTCTCCCTGATTGGGATGTGCTCTTGGTAACTGGCCTCTGGTCTTATCTGTCACGTCTAAATTGGAAATTGCTATCCTGGAGCACCGGCCTTGAGCAGAGTGGTGCATTCATTTCTCCTGCTCTCCATCAGGCACGGTGCACGTGCCCTCCTCACCCCGGCGGGGCCTGCGAGGACCAGAGGGCCTGTCCCTTGTCTCCGGGGCTGTGGCCTCTCTGAGGCCTTCCGTGCTCCTTCCCCCGAGGAGGGGAGGCGGAGAGCGAAAATGGCTCAGATATCTGGACCCTGGCCATTTTCAAATTACAGTTTCCACTGGTGATAATCTCAAGGCAAAAGAACTCCCCAGCCCTGGCCACCGGTGTGGCTCAGTGGATAGAGAGCGTCAGCCTGCGGACTGCAGGGTCCCGGGTTCAATTCCAGTCATGGGCACGGGCCCAGGTTGCGTGCTCGATCCCCACTAGGGGGCGTGCGGGGAAATCTGCTCTGAAGGCCTGGGTGGTGCTGGGAGCAGGGGTGTGGAGTGAGGAATTGGGCCCATTGGTTGTGCAAACTTGGACCTGCTGAGCGCTCAGCCTTGTGTAAACAGGCCGTGTGGCCTGAGGGAGCATAGAGATCTGGTGCCCACACTCCCCTGGGTGGAGTCTCAGCTCTGACGTTCATTGCCCGCTGTCTGTCCCGCAGCCCCCTCATTCCCATGGTCTAGGGCGGTGGGGTTTGGGCTGACAGCTTTTTAAGTGTTATTTTTATTTTATTTTATTTTGTTTTTTATTTTAAAATATATTTTATTGAGCCGAAACCAGTTTGACTCAGTGGATAGAGCGTCGGCCTGGGGACTGAAAGATCCCGGGTTTGATTCTGGTCAAGGGCATGCACCTTGGTTGCAGGCACATCCCCAGTAGGGGGGTGTGCAGGAGGCAGCTGATCCATGTTTCTCTCTCATCGATGTTTCTAACTCTCTATGCCTCTCTCTTCCTCTCTGTAAAAAATCAGTACAATGTATTAAATAAATAAATAACCCGGGACCTTTCAGTCTGCAGGTCGACCCTCTATCCACTGAGCCAAACTGGTTTCGGCCGTCAGCTGTTCTGGAGGGGGTCTCCCCTCCCAGGCCCTCGGCCTGCCTGCTCCCCTGGGGGCCTTTCCAAGCGGGAGCTTCGTGGAGAGCAGGGTCCTGCGTGGCTGCCAGGATTCTAAAGGGCCTTTCTTGTGAGTGACCACCCCCCTGAGGGAAGCTTCCCATAATCCTCTTCCTTTTGTCTCGCCGAAACCGGTTTGGCTCAGTGGTAGAGCATCAGTCTGCGGACTGAAAGGTCCCGGGTTCGATTCCAGTCAAGGGCATGTACCTTGGTTTCGGGCACATCCCCAGTAGGGGGTGTGCAAGAGGCAGCTGGTTGATGTTTCTCTCTCATCGACATTTCTAGCTGTCTATCTCTCTCCCTTCGTCCTCTGTAAAATATCAATAAAATATATTAAAAAAAACAACAACAACAAAAAAAAACATGGTGAAGTCTCCAACCTGAAATCTGAGCATGCGCCCTGCACACTTGGAAATCTCGGGGCTAACCCAGCTTTGTCCTGTCTCCGAAGGCCCTGGCCCGGCTCCATGTGGCTGGCTCCTGACCTACTTGCCCAAGGGGTGCCAAGCCAGGGGAGGCCAACAGGCACTTGTGGCAGCGGATAGAGCTGGCACCTCTCGCTTACCCTGGGGGGCAGGTGGCAGGGCTGGCCTTCCTTGTCCAGAGATGGTCTGGAGCCCTGGCCTGTGTGGGTCAGTTGGTTGGGTGTCCCATGCACCAAAAGGCTGCCAGTTTGATTCCTGATCAGGCCACATGCCTGGGCTGCTGGTTCAGCCCCTGGCAGGAGACATACAGGAGGCAGCCTATTGATGTTTCGCTCTCACATCGATGTTTCTCTCTCTCTCTTTCCCTTTTTCTTAATAAAAAAAATCTTCAGCCGAAACCGGTTTGGCTCAGTGGATAGAGTGTCGGCCTGCGGACTAAAAGGTCCCAAGTTCTATTCCGGTCAAGGGCATGTACCTTGGTTGCAGGCACATCCCTGGTAGAGGGTGTGCAGGAGGCAGCTGGTTGATATTTCTCTCTCATCGGTGTTTCTAGCTCTCTATCCCTCTCCCTTCCTCTCTGTAAAAAATCAATAAAGTATATTTAAAAAAAAAAAAAAAAAAAAGGGAGATAGACTCGCCCCCTATGCCTGGCCTGAGGACTGCCTTTGTCCTTATCTGAAAACTCACGTGAAGAATCACATGAGATCCCAGACCATTCTGAGTGGGCACCCACGTAGGCTGAACTTAGAACAGGACCTCCCCTGGGCCAGCTGTGCCCCCCATAGGGCAGTGGCTGGTCCCAGGCTGTCTGGGGAAGTACCCAGAGAGGGGGGACTATGACCAGCAGGCCCCCAAGCAGGACTGTCAGACACACACCTGGGCCGTCTGCCTGAGGATTCGTCCTTAGCCGGAAGCTCTTAGCAGGGGCGATTGGGCCTGTGCTCCCCTGGCGCTGGGCACTTGGCAGAACTCTTGAACCGTGGGCGCCATCAGCACCAGGGAGACAATGGTAGTGTTGCCGGCGGGCAGTGGGAGGGCAGCAGGTGTTAGACCGGTGGGTTCAGACCGAACCTGGGCTCAGCAACCTCAGTCAGTCCTTGGGTTTCGGCTAGGAAAGAATTCAGAGCAAGACCCCACCTGGAAGAGAACACTTACTTGGCAAGTCACAGAGGGAGAGGAAGTCGTGTTTGTCCTCAGGGCTGGACTTCAGGGCGTGCAACACAGCACCTTCTGTGTAGCCAGCAAGCTCATGAGTCCACAGAGCCAACTATCAACAGCACGACGATGACATTTTGTGGGAGAGCCACGTTTTTTTAAACTTAAACTTCTTCTTTGGAGAGCTAGATTTTTTTAAGCTTAAACATCGTCTAACGCCACTTCTTCAACCCAGACTCGCCCAGGCCATGGCGTTTTGTGGAAGAGCCACACTCAAGGGGCCAAAGAGCCAACCACTGGGCTTAGGAAACTGGTTATGGGAGTCAAACCGGAAGGGCCCTCGGAGCTTGGGAATGAGGAAGCTAATGGCAATATGCCTGGGCAGGGAGGTGGGGAGAGGAAGGGACAGGGTTACTCCTGGGACGGGGAGGGCCCCGGGCCCTCCATTCTAAGGGTTTTAAGGACTGCGATGTTAGAAGAGCTTCAATAGAATATTCCGCAGCTTTCCAGGTGTGTCCTCTCAGTGGTCTCCACTGATGGATTGGCCGGCACTGGGCCAGGGGGGTCACTGCAGCTGGTCCCAAGGTCAGCCATGTCTGGTTCTGTTGCTTCTCTGGGCCTGGAGCTGAAGACCAGCCGAGGTCTCTAGATGTTACTATCTCCAGGGAGGAAAGGTCAAGGGGTCCAAACCTCATGACCAGGGTGTGCGAGGGGAGAAAGGGTCACCCTGCGGGGAGGTTCCACCCTACATTGCTAGGCACCTGGGGCTTTCCGCCCTGATGACCTTCTGGACCTGACCTCATGCCTAACTGTAGCGCCAACTGCAGCGCCAACAGCCAAAACCGGTTTGGCTCAGTGGTAGAGCGTCGGTCTGAGGACTGAAGGGCCCCGGGTTCAATTCCAGTCGGGGGAATGTACCTTGGTTGCGGGCACATCCACGGTAGGGGCGTGCAGGAGGCAGCTGGTCGATGTTTCTCTCTCATCGACGACGTTTCTACCGAGTTTCCCCGAAAATAAGACATCCTCCGAAAATAAGACCTAGCGCCTGGAAAGATAAGACGTCCCCTGAAAATAAGACCTAGCGCAACTTTGGGAGGAAAAATTAATATAAGACACTGTCTTATTTTCGGGGGGAAAGGATAGCACTCTGTCCCTTTCTCCTCCTCTCTGTAAAAAAAACTCAAAACAATAAAATATATTAAAAAAAAAAAAAAAAGAATACCATTGATTACATTTTAAAAACAAACAACACACGTAGCACCAACACACGGAGGAGAAAGCGGGAGGGCCAGGAGGGCAGGTCTGCACTAACGTGGGGGAACTTGAGCCCTATTCCCCCCCCCCCCCCAAAGCTGGCTTCAGGACTGCCTTGGCCAGCCACCAAGCCCTGAAGCCAGCCACCCCCCCTTGACTCTCTCCTCCTCCTCCTCCTCCTCCTCCTCCTCCCCCGCCCCCCCCCCCCCCGCCCTATCTCAGATGCTGGAGGCCCCACCCCTGCTGTGGGCAGCCTTTTTATTGGGCCTGTCCCTGCTGGGGCTGCTGATGTTCCTGCGGGGAGGACCCAGTGGCCTGCTCCTCATCGGCTGGAACGAGTTCGTCCTGCAGCCCGTGCGCAACCTGCTCATGGGGGACAGCAAGGAGCAGCGCATCCTGCGCTACGTGCTGCAGCACGCGGCGGCCGGGGACCCGCAGAGCGTGCTGGACGCCATCGACACCTACTGCTCACAGAAGGAGTGGGCCATGAACGTGGGCGACAAGAAAGGTGGGTGGCCCGGCCAGCAGGGGGCGACTACAGGAAGGGGGACCCCAGGCCCGGCAGCACAGCCCACACAGGAAGGGCCAACTATCACCCCGGTTTCTGAACGTTGGACTCATCTGGAGCCCCAGGGGCCCGAGCCACCTGTCCAGCCAGAGGTCAAGCCTGTGCAGAGACCCTAACACCCACACCCCTGTCCCCATGGGGAGAGAGGGACATTCGATAAGCCACTCAGGAGGCCGCTGCGTAGGGTCTCCCCCCGCCTCCCCTCCTTGCCGCAGACCAACAGCCAGTATTAGGGGGGACAGTTGTGGCTCCAGGAGGCCCTGTACTCACACGCCATCCCTCAGAGTTCGGCTGGTGCAAGGTGGACAGTGGGTTCCTGGGTGTCCCTGCCAGGCACGAGGGTGCAAAGAGCTCCTTGGACTCTGCCCGGCCCAGGCATTGGCTGCCTCCTGACCTTGGACTCCAGCATGGAATGTGCTGTGTTGCACGCCCTGAAGTCCAGCCAAACATGTTGAAGACAAACATGACAGCTACTGTCTGGCTCCAGGGACTGAGAGTGGCCCCTGGGTGGGGTGGGGTGGGGTGGGGTGGGGGTCTTCCACAGAGGGCAGCTCTGGGTTAGAGCCAGTACGCGCCAGCCAGGGAACGTGGAAAGAGAAGGGCCAGTGTGTGGAAAGGCAGAGGGGGTTTTGGGCGGGGGGGAGGTGCCGTGGGATGGGGCATGGGGGAGGGCTGGGGGGCCAGGACTCAGAGTGGCTGTCCTCCCGCCCTGCGCTCACCCCTGTCCACCCCTGAAGGCCAGATTGTGGACGCGGTGGTACGGGAGCAGCGCCCCTCCGTGCTGCTGGAGCTGGGGGCGTACTGCGGCTACTCGGCCGTGCGGATGGGCCGTCTGCTGGCTCCCGGCGCCCGCCTGCTCACCATCGAGCTCAGTCCCGACTACGCCGCCATCACCCAGCAGATGCTGGACTTCGCCGGCCTGCAGGACAGGGTGCGCACCTCCCCCCAGGACAGAGCCAGGGGTGGGCGGGTGGGAGCGGGGGGGAGGCCTGGGGTCTGCCCCACATCGTTCAAGACACGTTTGTCCCGCCGCAGCCAGGCCTCAGCGCCTCCTGGGCCAGGGGTCGCGGGCCTCCAGCAGCTCCGTGAGGCATCTTACTTACGGCGACCAGGCATCCCGGGACGCGGGACAGATGGTTAAAAAATCAGGACGTCTGCCGAAACCGGTTTGGCTCAGTGGATAGAGCGTCGGCCTGCGGACTGAAAGGTCCCAGGTTGGATTCCGGTCAAGGGCATGTACCTTGGCTGCAGGCACATCCCCGGCGGGGAGTGTGCAGGAGGCAGCTGGTCGATGATTCTCTCTCATGGATGTTTCTAACTCTCTATCCCTCTCTCTTCCTCTCTGTAAAAAATCAATAAATAAAATATATTAGAAAGAAAGAAAGAAAGAAAGAAAGAAAGAAAGAAAGAAAGAAAGAAAGAAAGAAAGAAAGAAAAGGGACGTTTGGTCACCTTAGTCTTTTTTTTATATATATATATATATTTTATTGATTTTACACAGAGAGGAATTGAGAGGGACAGAGAGAAACATCGACCAGCTGCCTCTTGCACACCCCCCGCCGGGGATGTGCCCGCAACCAAGGGACATGCCCTTGACCAGAATCGAACCCGGGACCTTTCAGTCCACAGGCCGACGCTCTATCCACTGAGCCACACCGGTTTCAGCTGGTCGCCTTAGTCTTACTGCCCATCCCTCAGAGCAGGAAACCTTCACAGAGGGAGGGGCAGAGCGGAGACTTGTGTCCCCAGAACCGCAGAGAAACTGTGGGTGGACTTGCCTGGGAGTCCGGGGGAGGGGAGTCCTCTTGGAACCCCGTGGGCACAGGCACTGATGGGGCGCCATTGCAGGTCACCGTGATCCTTGGGGCGTCCCAGGACATCATCCCCCAGCTGAAGAAGAAGTATGACGTGGACACGCTGGACATGGTCTTCCTGGACCACTGGAAGGACCGGTACCTGCCGGACACCCGCCTCCTGGAGGTGCGCTGTGCCGCCGCCCGGTGGGGACGCGCCGGCTGCCGGCGAGCACGGGCTGCCTGGCTGGGGGGGCCTCCGCCTCTGAGGAGCCAAGTGCTCCAGCGTGGCCCTGCCGGGGGGTGTGGGGGGGGGGGCCTTGGGAGCCACAGGTGGCTCCTACTGGCCACCGACGGTCAGGGAGCTCAGAGGGCTGCTTGCAGGAGGGCCCGGGGCAGGATGGAGACCAGGACAGGGCTCCGGCGGCCTGTGCCAGGGCAGCAGGCGGGGAGCTCCAGGACCAGATGGCCTGATCCAAGAGGGCCCAGGGCAGAGGAGGCAGGAGGGAAGCAGCCTGGCGGCCGTGCTGGCTCCCCCAGCTGGACGGTGCAGGTTAGGGAACTCGGCGTCTCCGGCCCTCCTTCCCCCACCCCCCAAGGCCCCACCGCCAGACTGGCCCAGCCCTCGGTGCCAGCTGCTCAGCCGGCACAGAGCGGTGACCGGTGGGCTGCCTTGTCAGGAGGGTGGAGCTTGGGTAAGGCGACCAGACGTCCCGCTTTGGGCGGGACAGTCCCGATTTTTTTTTAACAATTTGTCCCGCGGCGTTTTTAAAAAAGTCCCGATTTTTATTTTTATTTTTTTTTTAAAGAAAAATCGGGACTTTTTTAAAAACGCCTTGGGCCGCAGGACAAACTGTTAGACATCGGGGCGTCTGGTCACCTTAAGCTTGGGGCCTGTGATGAGTTGACACTCGGCGCTTCAAAAGGACTCTTAGGAGCATCCGGGCCCTCCTGGAGGGCCTGGGACACTCGGTCCCACCCCCGCCTCCCTGCCCCGGGGCCTGGCGCCGTCCCGTGTTACCTGTCCCAGGCTCCCCCACCTCCACTCCCCCCGGGCGGACACTCTGCCCAGTGCAGGGACTGGGAGCACCTGGAACTCAGTGGTTCCGGGGAGGGGGGTGTGAAAGGGCACGGGATGTTCCAGGTGGGGGCCAACTTGGGCCAGAGGGCCAGAGCTGTGTGTGGATGGCCGCAAAGGCCACATGAGCTCCCAGCCCATGAGGGTGAGGTTAGGACCCAGGAAGGATCCCCGTTGGGCGGGCAGAGAGTGGGGAGGGGTGGCCGTGAGGAGTGGGTGCTGGTGGTGGAAAGGAAGGGGTACCCTGGGTTGGAAGTTGGGCGGGTCCTGTGTTGCCTGAGACATGCGGGCAATGAGGAGGTGACCAGGAGAGGTGGGGTGGGGGGAGAGGCTGTGCCCAGGACAGAGTCTTCCTGGGGTGCTGGCTGTGGTTCCCTCCAGCCTGTGGGCTGTGGGGCAGCCGAGGGCCCTCCAGCCAGAGCTCCGGGACAACACCCGTAAGAGGTGGACGTGGGCTGGGCCCCAGAGACTGGCTTCTAACACAGAGAAGCAGTAGCCCCAGGGCATGGACACAGTTTTAAAACCCATAAGAGGCTGGGGCAACCCACGAGGCAGAATGTGAACAGAAAGCATTCCTGAGCCTGGTGGGGGGGGTGGGGTGTGGAGGTTTCCACCAGGCAGAGGGGCGGGATCCTGGAAATCAGGTATTCAGGGCAGAAAGCAGGCGGCCGCTCCGCCGGGCCTGTGTCACAGGGCGGGGAGGGTTCCAGCAGCCTGGGTGTGGTGGTGAGGACAGGGCTGGCACGGACGGACGGAAGAGCAGCAAACACTGCCGTTCGGTCACCAGGAGCCTGATCGTGTTCTCAGTGCTCCTTGTTCGAAGCTGGGAATTCTCTCCGAATGGGACCAGCTGCGTTCTCACCGGGGGCTCTGCAGGCCCCTGGCCTGTGCCGGGCAGGGCCAGCTGCCCCTCCCCTCCGCTGGGAATAGGGCTGGCAGGGTGCCAGTTCCAAGTTAGGTGGCCACTTGGAGGGGGCCTCAGTCCCTTGGCACCTCTGAGTCTCCAACGGGGCGGCTTGAGGTGTCCTCAGTCGTGGCAGCTGGCTTCCCCCAAAGCCAGGGGTGAGAGAGCAAGAGGCAGACAGACAGACAGACAGACAGAAGGAGGGGCTGGGTGTGACCTAGTCCCTGGGGCTTCTGCTTCTCTGTGTTAGAAGCCAGTGTCTGGGCCCAGCCCATGCCCACCCCTTGAAGGGCCGAACTGGGGACACAGTTTTAAAGTCACCTCACCCTTGGCTCCCTGTGCTCACACCCCGTTTCCTCCTGAGAAGCACAGCTGGCTTCTCAGACTGCAGAAGTCTCCAGGGGCCTGTGTCCTGTGCTGGCGTAAAATTCGGTCCCTTCTCTTTGGGAAGAGAAAACACTCCGTGACTCATGATGATCCTTTCTGTTCCAATTCTGCCTTGTGGGTTGCCCCAGCCTCGTGACCTCACCCCTGCCTGTTGTCCGGAGCTCTGGCTGGAGGGCCCTCGGCTGCCCCACAGCCCACAGGCTGGAGGGAACTGCACCCAGCACCGCCAGGAGGGCTGGGACCCCAGGAAGACTCTGTCCTGGGGGCAGCCCTGGTGGGTGCAGAGTTCCAGTCCGATGTTCGGTCACCTGGAGCTGTCGGCAGCTTCAGACACACCTGGGAACACTTGTTTTCCATGTTTGGATTTTTGTTTGTTTGTTTGTTTTTAGCGCTAGTCCACTTGTCCCCCATGGTAAACATTCCCGCGTAAGGCTTTCCATTCTTTTGTTCCCTGTAATCTGAGCAGCACCTCCCTCAGCTCAGAGAGCTGAGAGCACTGGAGGACCTGGGCTGTGCCCAGCTGCTCCTCCTTCCTCCTGCAGAGCCAGGCCCGGAGTACCTGCTGGCTGCCCAGGGCCCAGTGGCTGATGGGGCGGGGCATGCCGAATGCTGGGGCCTGGTGATGTCCAAAGCGAATCCCTGAGGGGCGGGCTTGTGGGTGGGGAGACCTGCCTCTCCCCTGCCCCCCTGGCACTGCAGGGTCCTCCTGTCAGGCCCGATTGCACCTCCAGTGACCACCCCAAGAGCCACACACGGAGGCACCACGCATTTTTCCCACCTGGAGAAGCTGCATTTTCTTTATTTATTTTAAATATATATTTTATTGATTTTTCAAAAAGAGAGGAAGGGAGAGGGACAGAGAGCCAGAAACATTAATCAACTGCCGATTGCATAACCCCTACTGGGGATGTGCCTGCAACCAAGATACATGCCCTTGACCGGAATCGAACCTGGGACCTTTCAGTCTGCAGGCTGACGCTCTACCCACTGAGCCAAACTGATTTCGGCCAGCACAGCCTTCTTGCAGAGGACATGCTGGGGGGGGGGGGGGGGGGCGCTGCAGAGAGACTCGCGTGACCCCAGGAGGTGAGGGGGCGAAACCGGGGGTCAGGCCAGCAGCATAGGGAGCCCCCACCTGGTCAGGTGCCCCTGGTTTGGAGCACACTTGCTGGGCACCCCTGACCTGCACCCCCTCCCACCGCCTTGTCCCCCGCAGGAGTGCGGCCTGTTACGCAAGGGGACGGTGCTGCTGGCCGACAACGTCATCTGCCCGGGGACGCCGGAGTTCCTGGCGTACGTGCGCGGGAGCAGCCGCTTCCACTGCACGCACTTCTCCTCCTTCCTGGAGTACTCCCAGACCGTGGACGGCCTGGAGAAGGCCGTCTACATGGGCCCCGGCAGCCCGGCCCCGCCTTGACCGCCCACACTCGGCCCGTCCCCAGCCCTGCCCGGTTAGGAAGGTCACGATGGGCTCGCTGCTGCCCGCTCTGCTTCTGCAGTTCTGTCCTCCATGCCACACACGCAAGGCCTGCGAGGCCCAGGCCAGCCACTCCGGCCCCTCAGCTGTCACACCCCGCCCCCGCCCAGAGCAAGCTGCTCACCGCGCCCCATCCCCGCAGCCCATCTGGAAAGCTCATTGTGAACACTGAGCCAGGGGCGGCGGTGGCGTGGCTCCCTCGGCCCTGTTACCAGCACTCCGGTAGGGTTTCTTACACCGACAGGTCCTTGACCCGGGCGAGGGGAGAGGTGGGGACACCTGGAGACCCGGGCTGTGCACTCAGTCTGTGCTCTGCAGTCACCGGGCGGCAGGCAGCACTGCCTCAGTGATGGCACTGTGACCAACACCACATCACACCTCTGATTCCTCCGGGTTTCTTCTCCTCCTTTTTAAGAAAGAATTGCCACTTCACTAAAACTGGCTGACTGTTTTAATGATTTTATACCTTGATAATCTTGACTAAAAGATACTAAGAGAGTAATTAAAGATCTAAGTATTTAAATAGGAGAGGTCCACTTTGTGTGTGTTTTTTTCAACCACCTCGCTGCTCTTTCCTTCCGCTGGCGCCCTCCATGTTGGCACCAAACACACAGCGCTCCCCTTGACTGGCTGCCAACATTGCCCACATGCCCAGGGGCTCCCGGCCCCCAGCACTGCTCCTCCAGTGGCCTGGCCAGGAGCCCGTCACAGCCCCACCTGGACAGCTGCGGGCTGTGTCACCTGCGAAACCAGAACAGGGCAGCTGGCCACCCTTCACATCCATCTCTGGCCAAGCAGGTGTGGGGGAATGGAGGACGCGGCCCTGCAGCAGTGCCAGGCATGGCCTCCGGCACCCGGCCCCTCAGGGCCCCCCCCAGTGGCACTAAGTGGGGGCACCGCCCCAGGCCCTCTCAGCCTTGTTTATGGAAAAGACTCGGCCCAGGCTGCACAGCTGGTGAGGAATGAGGTAGAGCTGATTTGTATCCACTAACCCCATAGCTGCCTCCAGCCCCGGGCCTGTCCCTCCCATCCCAACCCCCAGCCTGCTTGGACCTCTGGCCAGCTCAGGGGAGCACCTGTCCTGGGTGAGCCCCTCTGCCCAGGACACCGCGCTGGGGCTCAGGGCCCAGCCCATCACCCAGGAGCAAGCCTGCTCCTCTTTGTATGTAGTGAGGGGATGGCAGCGAGTCTGGGAGGATGTGTGTGTGTGTGTGTATGTGTGTGGGAACCGCCCAGGGGCCTGAGAGCTGAGGTCCCTCTGGGCACTGGGCCCCCATCCCTTCACCCGACTCCCCACCTGGCAAACAGGAGCCATCAGCTTGTGGCGAGAGATCTGAGCCGTGAGAGACGTTCCTTGGTTGCTTTTTTTAATTTTTAAATTTTCTTACAAAAGTGTACGTGTTTACCAATACAGTCTTGTTTTGGTTTTGTGTATAATGCTTTTCGTCAGTGTTTTTCTTCTCTTTTGAAGTCACAAACAGCAGGCACTGAACAGCAGTCCCCCGCTGCTGCGGAGGGTCAGGCCGGGCGGGTCAGTCCCGGGCTCTGGCCGGCAGACAGGGCGCAGAGGCCACGCCAGGGCCGGAGTCACTGAGGAAGACTCCCACTGCACGGGGGTCCCAGGCACCCAAGGCCAGGGTGGGGGCTAGAACAGCCTGACCCCCATCAAGCTGTCTCCAATCCGCTTTGTGGGATCAGCCCCCCCTAGGGCAGCCCAATGGCTGGCCTGCCCCCGGGGGCGAGTGGGGGGCCGGGAGTGGAAACCCAGGGGGTCCCCTCTACCCTTCAGAGTCAAACTCCTCTGAGCCCCACTCCCTACCCAGCTGCCTGTTCCCAGGGCCAGCTGCCCAGCTCTTCCGGGGCACTACCCTCTCCTGTCCTTCCAGGCCCCCCTCTCCTGCCGCCTCCCTGGACCCTGCCCTGCAGCCCCCCAGCCTTCTCTTGCACTCGCACACAGCACCATGCACACAGCACCATGTCAGTAAACAGCTAACTCTGCCTAGGGAGTTAGGAGGGAGGGAGCCAGGGGGTGGGAAGAGAGGCGTGTCCAGAAAGTCCGGCCTTGGCTCCCGCGCAGAGGCACTGCCGACTCTTGCCACCAGGGGGCTCCAAGCTCCGAGGCTGGGTCTGAACAGGCTGGCCCTGGAGTTCCCTTCTTCCCTCCATCAGATTCCTAAGAATGAAAAGCTGGGCCCAGGCCCTGAGGAGGGAGAGGGCAGGGCTGAGCAGGGTGGCAGGGTGGCAGGGTGGCGGGATGGCAGGGTGGCAGGGGAGGGCTGCCTCCTCAGACTAGGCAGACGGAGGTGTATAGAGAGGCAGCTGCTGTGGGACGACCCTGAGGGTCTCACCCCCAGGGCCAATCCCAACATGCTCTTCTTCAGAGGCCGTGCACTTGGGGTGTTTCAAGGTGTAGGGGGGCCGCCCCTGCTCTGGTCCCATCTCCTCAGGGCCCCGACTTGGCTTGTCCTCCCCTAAGATGGGCATTCAGGCGGCTGGGCTCCAGGTGGGGGGGCAGGGAGGGGCCCCCCCAGGGAGCGCGCGGGGAGAACAGAGCATGCAGCCAGCAGAGTGGAGGAGAGCCCCTGCCCAGAGGAGGGGAAACGGCCGGACAGACAACCAGAGGGGAGAACGTACCAGGCATGCAAGCTAGACCCAGGAGTCAACGGGCTGAGGCTTAGCGTCCCCCACAGCGTCCACCAGCCTGACCGCGGGCCTGCTGGGCCCAGGAGGAGCCGCCTTCCTGCTGGGGTCAGGCTGCAGCAGAAGGGCGTGGGCAGGAGGGTGTTAGAGGCAGAACACAGGAGGTTAGTCAGAGCTGGCTCTGGGCGCTGGGCTGGTCCGAGGAGCAAGGCCTATCCATGCTGGTGCTCAGGAGGGGAGGGCCGAGGGGGCGGGGAGCCAGGCTAACGTGGCTCACACAGGTGCAGCGTGATGAGTGTGGGTGCACGAGGCCTGAGCCCGAAGCCAGGGGATTGGCATAGAGACGGGGGCAGGTGCTGCCCTGGAAGTGGGAACACGAGGGGCCCTCACCCACGCACACACGTGCAGAGTAGGGGGCTGACACCCTTGCTCAGACTCCTGGGGTCCTGTGCACCGTGCCAGGCCGTGCCCTGGGTCACATGCCCCCTCCCTCTCTGAGCGTGAGCTCTGAACCAGCTGCACCCACAGACCGGCTCTGATGTGAGGTCCCCAAGGTGGAGGGGCCGCTCCCGGGCCCAATCGCCCAGCCCAGCCGCCCCGGGTGGATGCCAGGCCCCGTCTTGCCTGAGCCCCTCTCCTGGCAACCACTGCTCATGCCGCCCCCCTGGGCAGCTGCCCAGCCACTCACTTTCAACGGCTCCTTCTCAGAGGCCTCCCCTGCGGGGACACTGCCTCGAGCCCTCCACTCTCTCTGGTCCATCGTGGAGTAGCCATCTGTGGGGGCACAAGGGGGGTCCTGAGGGGCAGGCCCCACGGAGCAGGTCTCCCTGCCCCAGCTCCGCCCTGGGGGCCTATGACAGGTCTTCCCAAGCTCCTCCTCCCGGCTCTCACCATCCCCTGCCTCAACCGCTCAGGCCCTGCAGCGGTTCGCTGCTTCCCCTTGGCAGCTCCGGACTGTCCAGCCTCCCTTCAGAGACCCTAGCTGGGCACTGACCTCTTCCTGGCCACACCCCAGTACACTCTGAGCACCCCTAAACCAAACCTCTCTTTTTCTTTTTTCTTTTTTTTAAATATATTTTGTTGATTTTTCACAGAGAGGAAGAGAGAGGGATAAAGAGTTAGAAACATGGATGAGAGAGAGACATTGATCAGCTGCCTCTTGCACACCCCCTACTGGGGATGTGCCCGCAACCAAGGTACATGCCCTCGACCGGAATCGAACCCGGGACCTCTCCGTCCGCAGGCCGACGCTCTATCCACTGAGCCAAACCTTTCTTTTTCAACCACTGCTTCCTGGGCCTTCCCAACAACTTATACGAGCACATACACACACACACACACACACACACACACACACACAGATCATAACCACCTGGCCACGCCCCCTCCTCCCCACACAGGAGGCACGTGGCACTGCCCCTGCACTCACCTGGGCCAAGGGCCTCCATGGGGATCACATCCCGGCTGCCTGGCTTCTCACTATCTGAAAGGCACAAGCAAGGGGCTGGCTGGTTGCAGGCAGTAGTGGGAGGACCGGGGCAGATACACCCATGGCAGGGCTGGCCTCAGAGACCCTGGGTACCCTTCATCACTAACATCTCTGCACCCTTTTGCTGGCTCACTGCCCACTGCCAGCCTCTCCCCACAGCCTGGTACCAATGTGAGTGCGGGGGGGGGGGGGGGGGGAGGGGAGGATGGAGAGGGCTGCAAACGGGGGAAGGGGCCACCCTGAGGCCATTTTCCTGTAAGAAACGCCTCACCAGCCTGCTCACTATCCATGCACCCGGTGGAGAGACACAGCTCTAGCTCAGGGATGGCTTCCCACACCCCCACCCCGCCCGTCCTTACCGAGGCTCTTGTCCACCAGCGGCAGCGTGCTGTCATCAAACCCTCCGGGACTCAGGGCGCCCTTGGGCCCCTTGGCATGAGCAGCAGCGGACTGGAGGGGAGAGGCCAAACAGACAGGAGAGGGAGGGGGTCAGGGGCACTCCCTCCGGCGGCGGGGGACCCAGCCTGGCAACGTGAGCCAGGAAAGGCTGTGCGGGCCGCACCTGGAAGCGGGCCTTGGTCCAGCCGTCCCTCTGCAGGGCGCCTCGCAGCTCCTTGTAGCTCCACACGGTCTGCAGCACGTGGGACGCGGCCTTCGCCTCGCGCACCGATTGGCTGTGGCCGGGGCCCAGGGCGGGGTCAGCGTCCGGCCCCGCCCCCGGGCCTCCCTCCCGCTCCCCCGCCCGCGTACCTGGAGGCGCCCAGGGCCGCCAGCGCCGGCACGCCGCGGGCCTGCAGCAGCGAGCGCGCGTTGTCCGGGCTGTCGGACACGATCTCGTGGATGGTGTTGAGCACGGCCACCACCGTGTCCTCCTCCAGGCGGGCCCCGGGGCGCGCGGGCACCTGCGCGTTGCGCACGTTTCGCACCAGCTCTGCCATGGCGTAGCTCCCTGAGGGGGAGGGGGACGGGGAGCGGGGGGGGGGAGAGGGGGGTTAGGACAGGCCTCTGCCCACCCCCCCTATGGGGAGAGAGGAGCCCACAGCTCCCACGCACAGGGGTAGACCAGGCTCAGGCAGCTTGATGGAGACGGGCGCTCCAGCGGCTGGGACAAAGGGATGTGATGGGGCCCAGGCCAGGCCCTAGAGAAAGGTGACCAGATCGTCCAGGTAGGTGTTGGCGGGACAGTCCTGATTGCTAACAATTTTTCCCGCGTCTCGCGGCGTTTTAAAAAAAAAAAAAAAAAAAAGTCCCGATTTTTGATAAGGTTGGAAACATTCTTTCCAAAAATCCGTACTTTTTTTTTAAAACGACGCGGGGTAAAATGTTAGAAATCAGGACTGTCCCGCCAACACCTGGACGATCTGGTCACCTTGCAGTGTTCCCCAAACTTTTGACCTATGTGTACCCCTTCTATAATTTTCGTAACGCTGAGTACCCCTCATATTCATGAGAACGTAGAATTAGGCGCAGCTAAGCTCAGCGCAGTGCATATCCCCACCAAACTCCGGTGCAACGCGTACCCCCACCAAACTCTTCCCGTACCCCTGGGGGGACGCGCACCACACTTTGGGAAACACTGGTAGAGCCCTCCACCCGGTTCCCGCCCAGGCTCAGCCCCACCTGCGTCCTCACCTATGAGGTCCTTGTTGCGCCGGTCCAGCGAGAGGTTCCGCAGGGCGATGGCCACGGCGCGCACCACCTTGTCGGTCTCGGACTGCAGCAGCTCCACCAGCACCGGCAGCCCGCGCTCCTTGCGCACCGTGGCGCGGATGTACGTGGCCCACTGCGGCGGCAGAGGGGGCGGAGCGTGCTCAGCGCACAGGAGGGACACGCTCCCGCCTGAGCCCTGGCCACTCCTGCAGCGGAGACTGTGCTCCTGACAAAGCCTTCCACCAGCAGCTCAACGCTCCCTCCGCCAGACGCCTCCACACTCCACCACTCAGGGCACCTCCAAACCCCACCACCCAGGGCACGCTTCTTGCAGCCCCAGCGCTCTGACCCACTCTCTGTCCTTAGGGAGGGCTCCTCCCCTCCCCCTGCCTGGCCAAAGGCAGGAGGAGGCACCCACAGAGACACACAGGGATTCCCCCCTCTGGTCCCTCCCTGCCAGACACGGCCCTCTCACCATCCAGTTGCCAGCACTGAGGTTCTGCAGGGCACCAGCCGCAGCCTCCAGGGTGTTGAAGTTCCGGCTCTCGGTGAGGAGTGAGAGGTAGAGACGCACCACCTCAGGCTGGTACAGCAACTCAAAGCCTGGGCACAGAGCACCAGCTGCCGACGGTCGCCCAGACCTCCCCACATCACTTCCAACCGGGGCAAGGCTGAGCTGGGACCCAGGGGTGGGGTGGTGGGTCAGGAAATGTTTAACGATATTATGGCTGCCCCACAGAAAAAGCAGCTCCAGCCGCAACCGGTTTGGCTCAATGGATAGAGCATCGGCTTGGGGACTGAAGGGACCCGGGTTCGATTCCAGTCAAGGGCATGTACCTTGGTTGCAGGCATATCCCCAGTAGGGGGTGTGCAAGAGGCAGCTGATCGATGACTCCCTCTCATCGATGTCTCTAGCTCTCTGTCTCTCTCCCTTCCTCTCTGTACAAAATCAATAAAAATATATTAAAAAAAAAAAAAAAAAGCAGCCCCACTTCTCAGAGGAACCGACAGAGGCTCAGGGAGAGAAGGTGGCAACCCCTAGCAACAAGACCCACCCTCCCAGTAGCCAATGGGGGCTGTGCAACTGGAGGGTGGGCCTAGCGACAAGACCCACCTCCCCTAGCAACAGGAGATAACTGAGGCTGTGTTACCAGGGTCACGCCCTTAGCAACAGGGCCCATCCCTCCAAGAGGTCCAGGCCTGGCAGCAGCGCCGCCACAGCGTCCCGGAGATGAGGGGCTGAGTAGTTCCCAAAGTTACTATACCCACACTGGGGCTTCTGCCTGCTCCTGGACATCACCTCCCTGTCCAGCACTGTCCTCTGGCCCCACAGGCCATCACCCCCTCCCTAGTCCTCATGTCCTATGCTCCCTCCACACCGGCCTGGGTGGGCTTCCAATCCCCCAAACACGTGGCACCCGGAGGTGTTGGCCGGGGCCGATTCCTCAGCCTGTGGTGTCCCCTCAGACCTCCGGTGGCTGGTTCCTTCCATTCTGCTTGGGAGCATCTGGTCTCCTCGCAGGGCGGGCTGTGGCCCGGAATCCCTCTCCCTCAGGCTGGATTCCCATTGTGCAGAACAGACTACTCTGCCCCTGCGTGAACCGGGGTGACCCGGCCCAGCCTCCGTACTGAATCTGACTGTACCGTCCCAGTACCCAAACCCCTCGGAGCGAACCTGACACCTGAGGCCCTGCCAGCCAGCCCTGCCCTTCATGGGGGGCCTCACCCCAAAGCTGAGACCCAGCAAGAGGCTGGCCTCTCAAGCGAAAACCGGTTTGGCTCAGTGGATAGAGCGTCGGCCTGCGGACTGAAGGGTGCCAGGTTTGATTCCAGACAAGGACATGTATGTACCTTGGTTGTAGGCACATCCCCAGTGGGGATGTGCAGGAGGCAGCTGATCAGTGTTTCTAACTTTCTATCCCTCTCCCTTTCTCTCTGTAAAAAATAAATATAAATAAAATATATTTTTTTAAAAAGGGCCTGGCCTCTCTATCCCCCAATCCTGGGCACCTGTGGCACCCTCTGCTGGTGCCCAGGGACTAGGTGGTCCTCGGGGAACACCACACCTGTGGGCCCGTGTCCATGTTAGATCTTCAAGCCTCCTTCGTGGCACACAGCTTCACGACCAGACAGTCCTGAGCCTGGACTCTGCCTCCACCAGCTCACCTTTGGCGGCCTCCGTCCTCTTGGGCAGGTCCAACGTGTCGAAGTTCCGGTCCATCTCACCGTCCTTCCTCCCTGGAACAGAACAACAGCGGGAGGTGAGGTGGACCCCGTCGGGGGAAGGTGTGTGTCACGAGAGCTGGGCCCAGCACGTTTCTGCCTAGAGCCCAGAAAGCACCCCCAGGTCCAGGATTAGGCACCCAGAGACCAGGGGAGCAGGGTCAGCAGCAGGGCCGAGGGCTGTCCCAGCCAGGACTCATCGTCCATCTCCCACCAGGTGCCGGGAGCTGTGCCCAGACCTGCCCAGTGGCCTCCTGTGGCTGCCAGGTGTGTGAACTGAGGAATCCCGTGGCTGGGTGGTGGGTATGGGCACACAGGGAAGCCGAGGCCTGGCAGGGACAGGACATGTCTGGCTACCCACAAGGCAGGGCGGGGGCCAAGGAGTCCTATCAGAGGGAAACTTGCCCGTCTTGGGCCTAGACCCTGTCCCAGGCTCTGTTGGCCAGGAAAACCCTGCTCACGGGCCAAACCCCTGCAGCAGCTCCACCTCACACCTGCCAGCCTCGACCTGTCCCCCTCTGGGCCGCCATCCCCCTCAGATGGAGGCGTCTCTCCTTCGGAAGGCAGCAGAGCTGTGTTTCAGTGGTCGCCAACTTTTTGGACCTCATGGGCCACCGGATGGCGACCGCTGGTCTAGATGACCTGGGACCCCCACCATCCCTGACCTCCGGGGGCCTTTGTGTGTCCCTGTGGGAGCCACACACGCCCCACTCCACTGGGGAGACACCCCCCAGGCCTTGAGGTCATCGGCTCTGCCCCAGTCCTAGCTCCAGGCCCAGCCCTGCCTGAGGAGCCAAGTCTGAGGTTACAGAGGGACAGCCCCTGAGCCTCCAAATGAGTCCAAGGCTGACATTCCTGCCGTTGTCATGGAGATGGCTGCCCGGAGAAGGGACTGGAGGTGGGGCAGGACCTTGCGTCTGGAAAGCCCTGCAGTTTCGAGGATCGTCGCTGCCTGAGCACTAAGGGGAGGGGGCTGTGCCTCCTCGGTGCCCACGGCACCCGCCAGGCCTGGATGGCAGGACAGACAGGAACTTACCTTGATGGAACCAGTCCTCTGGGCGGCCGGAGGAAGCACAGGAGAAAGGAGACGAGCCTGAGCGGGCAGCACCCCCCACCCAGGGCCCTCCCAGGAAGCCTCAACTTCCCACTGCACACCCTGGGTTAGACAGGCGGCAGGTGGGATCTCACCCCAATTGCTGCTGGGGGTTGAGTGCCCACGTGTAGGACAGGGCTCAGCAGAGGCCCACACAGGCGGGACAGGTGACAGCGATCCCCCGATTCCACCTGGCAGCCGCTGGGGGATGTTGGAACCTGCACCCTGAAGGGGTGGGGTGCTGCCCCCCACGATTTCTCAGGGTCTCCTAGTAGGTGCTCTATCAGTGCCAGAAGGGGGCATCACCTTCGGCACTTTCCAAACTTGGGCCCATAGACCCCTCCCTAGGCCTGCCACGTGGGTCCTCTCCTCCCCTCCTCCCCTGCGGGCACCACAGCGCAGAGAGAGGGGTGAAGCCTGGGCCTGTGGGATGGGTACCCCAGGGCGGCCCGCCCACCCACCTTGGCTCCCTGCTTCCCCACGTGCCATGAATGTCAGGGCCACAGAGAGCCTCAGCCTGTGTCGGGGGAAGGGGAGAGTCGGGGGACGGAGGGAAAAGGTTCGAAAGTGGTACCCCAGCCAAAACCGGTTTGGCTCAGTGGATAGAGCGTCGGCCTGCGGACTGAAAGGTCCCAGGTTCGATTCCGGTCAAGGGCACGTACATTGGTTGCGGGCACATCCCCGGTAGGGGGGTGTGCAGGAGGCAGCTGATCGATGTTTCTCTCTCATCGATGTTTCTAGCTCTCTATCCCTCTCCCTTCCTCTCTGTGAAAACTCAATAAAATCTATTTAAAATATAAGATAAAAATAAAGTGGTACCCCACCCAGGCCCCTCCACACACCTTTGGTCTTTTTGCCACCAAAGCAGCCGGCATCATCCCGCCTCCGGTGCTGGGAGCCCGCAGTACCGCCCAGGGGCCCAGGCTCGGCCTCCTGGTACCTGTCGGCCCCGGGCACCTCCTTGTGCACGTGGTACGACAGGTTCCGCATGATGCACACGCAGTTCTCCACGGACTGCGGGAGGAGAGAGCTGGTGGGGGTACGGGCGGGTGGGCACGGGGGACGCTAAGCCTCTGAGAGGACCGAGGAGGGTGGAGACATGGAGGCCTGAGGCAGGGGGCCCACACGGGCAAGCACCCTCGGGCAGGGGCCGAGAGAAAAAGGGCAGAGCACCTACGGCATGTAGGACCTCAGCAGGGCTCTGTGGTCACTACAGGGTCGCCCACGCCGCCCCGGAGGTGCGGGCCTGTCCCACGGTGCCACCCATATGCTTCAAACCCTGGGTGTAGTCCATCTCCCCGAACCTCTGTGGGAGGCCGACACTGCCCCTGCCTGGGACCTGCTGGGACTACCCTGCCTCACCCCGCCCACCTTGTTGTCTGTGTCCTTCCTGCCCACGGCTGACTGGAGGGCATGCAGGAGCGCGTCCACCAGCCCTTCACACTCCCGAAGTCGCCGCCGGGCCTCCGCGCCATCTGAGCTCACGTTCCTGGGTAGCCAAGAGCAAGCCCCATGACCCCTGGCTCCCGCCGGGACGCCCCGGGCCCCACCTGGCCGGGGGGGGGGGGGGGTGTCTGTTTCCATCTACAGAACGGACACTAACACTGCCCTGTGGAGGCGGTCGGCAGCTGGCACCAGCCTGCAGCCGTGAAGGGGGGTGAGGCTGGCTTCCTTCGGGGGAGGGAGCCCTAACCTGGCATCTCCATGGCGGGGGGGCGGGGGAGAGGCTTTCCTGACTCCCAGTTGACTTGCAAAGGGGCAGAGTGGGTCCAGAAGCCTGAACCTGTGCACAGACCATTCTGGCTTCCCCCTGTCCCCATGGCAACTCTGCTATTCCCCAGGTCAAGATCCTATAGGATGGGGCCACATCTTGATAAACAGTCAGGACTGTGGGGACACTGGACTGCCTGTGGGCTCTGCGGGGGGCCCCCCAGAGTGGGGGAGAGGTCACAGGAGGTGGGATGAGGCCCCTGAGGCAGACTGAAGAGGAGGGCCCTGGCTCTCTGTTCCCTGGATGTCATGATGGTGGAAGAATGGGTTGAAGCTGGGCAGGGATAAGGCCATGGGGTACCGCCCAACAGGGTGGCAGACCTGGTCCAGAGGCTGCCCTTGGGGAGTCAGTACAAGCCCGCCGGGGTTATACTCAGGGCTGGGGCAGGAACTGGGACACGGCTGATCCCTAAGACTCGGTCAGCTAGCTGTCTTCCTCCTTATGTGGGACAGGAGGACATGGCTCTCCCAGGACAGCTGTTTGCATGCAGGTTCTGGTGCCCGGCTCCTGCCTCCTTGACCAAGAACAGCCCAGGGCAGCTGCTCAGGGGGTGCCTGAGCCCGGCCCCACCCCCACCTCAAGCAGCCTGATGTGTTCTTGAAGACAGTCGTCCACTCGGCATCCCGTGGCTTGGAGTCCTCATTGGGCTCTCGCTCCCAGCCCGAATGGGGCACAATGACCTCGTGGGTCAGTGTCTGTAGGCCATGGTCAATGATGACCATCTTCAGGGGCTCGTAGGATGACAGGTTCCAGAGTGTGCCTGTGGGGCACCATTGACCAGCCAGTGCTGACCATGGGCACTGCCTCCCTACCGCCCATGGGACTGCTCAGGACCTGCCGCGCCATCCATCCTGCCCCAGCTCAGGCCCGGAGGGAGGAAGCGACAGAAGCTGTGAGAGGTTCTGAAGGCTCCTCCTGGCTGGGGCATATGGCACCTACCACGGGCTCCCACTGAGGAGGGGGGAGGGCCCCAGGGGTTAGGACAAGAACAGGGAGCCTGGGGCTGGATACAGCAGGTGCCTTCTCTTCCCCACCCCGGTCACATGACAATCAAAGGTGGTCACGTGACCCTGCCTGGACATTGGGAGTGGGATCCAGTGGGGAGGGGGCCCAGTGCCAACCCCACCAGTTGGCAGCTAACTCAGAGGTAACGACTGGGGGCCTTTCATGGCATCTAAGCCTGACACCTGCCCCCAGCCGCTGGGACTCCTGACTGAACTGTCTTGCTCTGGTCTCTCCCCGAAGATGCAGGGCGGGCCGGGCGCCACTCACCTGTGACGAGCTCTCGGACCTCGCTGTCGCGGGCGGCCCGCAGCAGGCGCACCAGGGCGGGCACGCCGCCGCAGTCCCGGATGGCGGCCTTGTTGTCGGGGTCTCGGCCGTAGGAGAGGTTGCGCAGCGCGCCGCAGGCCCGGCGCCGCACCTCCGCCCTGGGGTGGTCCAGCAGAGCCACGAGCAGGGGCAGCCCCCGCAGCTGCCTCACGCGCCGCTTGACACCCTCGTTCTCGAAGCACAGGTGCTGCAGGTAGGCGGCCGCGTTGGCCTTCACGGGGTCCACGGGGTGCCGCAGCATGGCCAGCACCTCGGGCAGCTCGGGGTCCCGCCAGCGCGGCTCTTTGCGGGCGCTGTCGACGGAGGGCGAGCGCCGCACCGCCCGGTCCAGGCTGCCCAGGCTGCCCCGCTCCGGCTGGGCCAGGGGCGCCGCCGTGGCTGGGAACGGGGGCCTCTCCTCCAGCAGCTCGCCGCCGCCGCCGCCGTCCTCTGCCACGTCCTCGTAGGCCCTGTGCCGACGAGCAGGGCACACGGACGCGGTCTCAGCGGCTGCCCGCCCGAGCCCTGAGCTGCCCCCAGAGGACCTCCGGGGAATCGTGAACCCGCCCAGGGTGGGACTGGGCCTGGCGTGTTGGTACGTGGCCCCACGCACCACATGGGTGTGGAGAGTCCTACCCCAGCCCGGCAAGAACCGACTCAGAACCAATGACGGAACCAACCCCAGCCCATGGCCACCAGGGCTGCATCCCTCCCAGAGAGGGCTCACTCACTCCCATCACCAAGGCAGTGTCCCCTGATTCGGAGCCAAACGCCGAGCTAAACGCCTTTCTATGAAATATCTGCCCGTGCCTGGAAGTCCCACCTTCCCCCGAGGCCCGTCTCTGCCTGGTGCCAGGATGTGGGGGGAGGTGATCTTCTTTGTATATGGCCACCCTGGTGGGCCCATCTAAAGGGCATACAGCCCTGACCGGTGTGGCTCAGTGGATAGAGCGTCGGCCTGCGGACTGAAAGGTCCCAGCTTCGATTCCAGTCAAGCGCATGAACCTTGGTTGCGGGCACATCCCCAGTGGGAGGTGTGCAGGAGGCAGCTGATTTGATGTTTCTCTCTCATCGATGTTTCCAACTATCTCTCTCCCTTCCTCTCTGTAAAAAAAAAAAAAAAATCAATAAAATAATTTTTTAAAATAACATAAAATAAAAATAAAGGGCATACAGACTGCCAGTCCCCCAGATGTCCTTGTGGGTTTTCCCCATCAAACCCACTTCCCAGGAGAGGGACTAAGGTGAGGAGGAGCCAGGTGTCTTGCCCCATGGCCTTGCAACACATTGTGTTCATGTTCCCATTCCACAGACAGAGAAACTGAGGGCGGAGGGGACAGGTCCAGAGGTTACGCTGAGAAGGTCTGGGGGAAGGGGCGTTCTTGGGGTTCCAGCTGCCTCTGTGTACGAGGCGTGGGGAGAGGCCGAGGCCTCAAACTTCGAGAAACACCTTGAGCCTCTTGGGTTCCCACCTTCAGAGTCACCTGCCTAGAGCAGGGGCAGCGGGGATCGGGCACTACGACCAGCTTCTTTCGTGCCCAGACCTGCAGGGAGGGCACCCAGAGCAACGTCCACCATCCCAGAGCCTATCCTTGCTGCTGCCCTTGAGGAGACTAGAGGCAAACGGACGTGTGTGTGTGTGTGTGACTGACTAATGTAGCCCCGGCAGCTGGTCCACCTGTGGGGTCCTCTCTGGTGGGCGGAAGGCAGACTCCCCGGCTGTGGTGGCAGGGCACAGGGTGCTCACCTACTGCGCAGGCCCCGCCCACAATCAGGCCGCCTCCTCGTGGCGGTGCCATAGTCGGGCTCCAGCTCCGGGCCGCCCCCGTCGTCGGCAGCCAGGCTGCGGGTGTCGTCTTCCAGGCCGTAGGGCTCTGCCTGGAAGCGCTCAGGCTGGGAGCGCCCGGCCGGCGGCGGCGGCAGCGGCGGCAGCGGCAGCACAGGCTCCGGGCCCTCGGTGAAGGCTTCCCGGCGGCCGGGCAGCGTGAAGCAGCCGTCGCCGGGGCCGGGGCCGAGGGGGCCGCCCCGTGGGGGCCGCACCCCCAGCCCCCGGGACAGGCTGGCGTAGCTGGGGATGTCCCGGGGCTCGGGGCTGTCGGGAAAGCCGCTCCCGCCGCTGAGGTAGGTTCGAGAGAGCGTGGCCGCCGGGCCGCCCCCGCGCAGCAGGAAGTGCCGGTCCAGGGGGCCATCGGCGAAGTGTCCCAGCGGGGGGCCGCCGTCCAGGACGGGGAGGCCGTCCGGGCCCATGGGCACCTGGCGCACCGTCCGTGTCGTCACGGTCTTGACCATCTTGGTGACCTGGTGGGTAAGCAGGTAGGCAATGGGCTGGGCAGCCTGAGAGGCCCAGACACTGCCCACAGGGCCAGCGTGGCCTCAGTCTTCCCCCACCTCGAGTGTCCGCTCTGCACATGGGACAGCTGGGGCTCCAGAGCCCATGCGCCAGCTGCATGGGCCCAGCCGTACCTTGGTCTCCGTGCGCCGCGTGGTGCCATCCTCGGACATGACAATGGACACGTGGGAGGTGGGCGTGCCCGGGTCCTCCTCCACCGTCACCGTCTCCTCCAGCACCTCGGGCGCCTCCGGCATGGTGGCCAGGGAGACCTGGCTGCCGGGGCTCTGCTCCTGGGGGAGGGGGGAGGGTGTCAGCGGGAGGACCCAATGCTCGCCCGGCCCTGGAGTGCAGGTAGGTGCTGGCCTGGATGCCAGGAATGACTTCATCCCCTCCCTCAGAACCCACGGACCAGAGAGAGGGCCTGCAGCAGCCCCAGCTGGTGAGGACAGCACGTGTCTGCCTCTGGACGCTGAGGGGCTGACCTTGCCCTGTTGCCCCATTCCAAGGGGGGGGCTCCAGAGGCTGGCCCCCCATTCCAGCGCCTCCTGGGGCTGAGCTGGCAGGGAAGGTCCTGTGTCTTAGCAGTGAGGTGACTGCAGCAGGCTCCTGGGGGCCCAAGGGACCCACTGGGTGTCCTCCAGGTGTCCCGGGCCACCTCCCTGCCCCACCTCACAAATGCTGGCTGAGAGGCCTTAAGGTGGCAGTGTCACTAGTGTTCACCAACTCGCCGTGGCCACACCGAGGCTCCCCTGTCCCTGAGGCCAGCCACACACCCTCGCAGACCAGAAATACTCAGCTCCCAGAATGCCTTGGGCACTCAGAGGACCAAAATATCCTCACACTCCTTCCGGCCCAGACACTCTGAAGGGTGTTGCGTGGGCAAGGCCTTAGTCCTACCGTCACTGAGACCCTGAGAGCCCGGAGAGTGGGTTCGGGCCAAAGGGGCCCAGCTTGTCCCTCTCTGTTCACCACCCTGGGTCTCCCAACCTTGGCCCTCAGCTCCCGAACACCTGCCTCATTCTCAACCTGTCCCCGCCCCCACCACACACACACAAACACACACACACACACCCCTCCTGCCTTCATCCCTGCAGGGGCTGATCCTGGTGGACTTCCAGGCAAGACGGCTCTGGACAGAGGCTCTTCAAAGGCCCATATGCCTCTGGCCAGTGGGGAAACGGGGGCTCAGAGAGGACAGGCCAGCCCATAGCAGAACTGGCTAGTCCCCTGCTGTGCCGTGTGGCACAAGGACCGAGATCAACCCCTGGATCTCTGACCACATGAATTCCACCCACAGCGTCTCAGGGTCAGCACCTGGCCAGGATGGGCAGGGGCTGAAATCCAGTACAGGGGGTGGGTCACGGGGAGCACAGCTGGAGCCAGCAGACACACAGGCTCCACTCTGCAGCCCAGGCCCCATGCCTTGCAGGATGGGTGTCCCACCTGGGCCCAGGCCCAAAGGCCTGCACAGACATGGTAGGGCTGAGGCCCAGGGGAAGCCAGCAACTCCCATCTGCATCTGCCTGGCATCAGAGCCCTCCTCAGCTCCTGCCCCTGGGTCTCAGAGTGATGCAGGGGAAGGTAGTCAGCGGTGCCTTCAGGGTGTGACGTTTTCCCAGGTTGGGGTCCTGTCCTGAAGGCATGCTTGAGCCGCACAGCTGCTTGCAGTGTGGAGGTTCGGGGTCCCTGCAACTTCCTCAGGGTCCAGGGAAGGGCCTAAACTGTCCTGAGAGAACAGGTACATCCTGTCCTCAGGCTCTGGTGACACAGGAAGGAAGAGGCACAGAATGTACCCCACGCAGGAGAAAAGATGTGATTTTATAAAAGGGGAACTGAGGCCCCACAAAGGGGGAAAGCGCTACCCAGAATTTCCCAACCTGCCCCTGGGGGGATTCCAGGCATCCTTATAGAAGACAATTTTGCACAGAAGGCAATTTTGCAAAGCCTATTAGCCACGCCTCACCCCTGGCGGGCCACAGCCTTGACTGTCACTCTCTCAGTCTTGGGCTGCAGGTGGAGTGCCTATCAGAAACCAGGCCAGGAGGGAGGAACCCTGTGCCCTGGGAAAGAGAAGTACACTGAGGCCCAGAGCAGGGACATGCGGATGGGCTGCCAGGCAGGGTGGCCTGAGCATTCCTTGGAAGGCACTGGGAAGCCGGGAGAGTTCTGAAACAGGAGAAGGTTTAGGAACGACCCGTCACTGCTGGGGCTTCGGGTGCCCCGTCTGTATTTAGCAAGTACAGGAACAGATGTGTGGCAGAGACTGCATTCTCTCCGCTGGGCTCCGGACAGCCAGGCAGAGGGCCAGGCATGCAGGGGCCTCAGGCCTGGAACTGGTGGCTGCAAGTATCAGGGCAGGGCAAGAAGCAAGACGGGCATGAGGGATCAGGACTGTTGCCTAGGACACGACACTGCCAAGTGGGCTATGGCCCCTCTGTAAATTTGCATACATTTGCATACATTATCGCTTTCCTGGCTGGGATTGGGGGAAGCACATTTGAGATCTCAATACTACTCTGTGGTCCAGCTTATTCTTTTCATTCCGACCTGTAGTGAGGTTCTGACACCTTTAAGTCAGGAGGGTGAGGAGATAGGGTGACCAGGAGACCCAGGGCCCCCCAACAGGGCCTGATGATCCTGCAGCACCACCCATCAACACCCAATCCAGGCAGCCCTGTAGCACCAAGGGCCCCTGCTGGCAAATGACCTCAGGGAGCTAAAAACAGGCGATGACTTCACCCAAGCGGGCAGGCAGGCAGGCAGGAGCCTGAGTCAGCTGGAGATCACGGAAAGGCCTGGCCCCCATTCCATATGCCCGGGGGGCACACGCATGCAGACAGGGACCTAGTCACACATGTGCATGTATGTGCCTGATCCTTCTGAAAGGGACACACGTGTGCACGAGAACCAGCCTGGCCCACGGGCCTGAGGAGATCAGTGTGTGTGGGCTCTAGCAGCACTCAGTGCGCGGTGCCCACCACCCGCAGGGGTGTGCACACATCCCCGCCATCTCCTGTCTTCCGCCATGGGCCAGACTCCCCCCACCAGCACCAGGCATCCACGACAGGAGTCTCAGAGCTGGAAGCCAGATGGGAGAAGCCCAAGGTCTGCTCATGGCTTGGGACTGTCCAACATCTTTGGGTTGGGGACATGGGATCATAGGCTGATGACCAGCACACAGTTGGATGCCTGTCTGGTTCTGAGGCCCTGCTCTAGGGTCCCATGTACCACCCATGTCCACCTACCCAGGCCAGCCCACCCTCAAGGAACCCCTGGCCCTGCAGCCCCAGTCCCCCCTTGACCCCGCTATACCCCAGACATGGGCACCTGCATGGACACACCACCCCAGCCCTCCTCCATGTCCCAAATCCTGTCAAGTCCTGTCACCTGTGTCTTGGCACTCTTTCTCCAGACCCGGCCTCATCCTTGCAGCTCTCCCTGGAACCGCTGCCCAGCCTCCCATCGCCCACCTCTGGGCCCAAATCCGCCCTGGGATACACCTATCCATGGTCCACCAGGTCCATGGCCCAGGGGCTCTGGCCCAGAGAGGGGCTGTTGCCATAACCTGGGGTTTCCCATCAGCTCCCTGGGACTTATGGGGAAGGGGGTTGGCCCAGGTCTCCGAGTGGGGGCTGGAGTTCCCCAGAAAGGTAATGCTCACGAGAGGATGCCCAGAGGCACAGAGCTGAGCACAGCATGAGGGTGCTGGGCCCCTGCACACAGGAGGGGCTTGGCTTCTTCACACACAAACAGGAAGGACCCGTGCTGTCCAGGCTGTGGGACAGGCGGAGGCAGTGTCGTCCACCTTGGTGGCCAGATGTGGGACAATGCGAGGGGTCGGCACCTGGGCAAAAGGCCACAATAGCCTCTGGGGGACATTGGAAATGGCTGAGGGAGGGGACAGAGGAAACAAGCCAAGTTGTAATGGAGGGGTTGGTGAGGGGGGCGAGGTGCGGGGAGACTGGACTGGGGCCCCAGAGGCATGGATCTACCTGCACCATCTGCACTTGTCAGATGAGCACCCGTGGTCAGTCTGTTTCATGAATAATGAACCAAGGGGGCAGGTGTCCCACTCTGTCCACATTCCCGTTAGCAAACACAGGGAATGCTGGCATCCCGCACCTGGCTCCCATAATCCCCCGGGGCCAAGGCCCCCAGAGGACATAAGATGGATGCTGCTGAGTGAGCAGAGGGGTGGAGGAGTGACAGCCCGCTCCCAGCAGCAGGGCCATCCCAGCTGGACTCGAGGATGAGCCAGGCTGGCATCTCTCCTCAGGGAGCAAACCCTTAGCCACCACAGACACTCTCTCTCCCTCGGTGCCCATGGCCTCTGCCCAGCCCTGGCAGGCTGGAGACCAGACCTCCACAGCAGCAGTCCTCCTGCCAGGCCACAGCCTCACGCTGAGCGGCAGAGAGGCCAAGAGGTCCTGGGTGCCCAGCGGGCAGGCTTCGGGAGCAGGGTGGTGGGGCCCAGAAGCCAGAGCTGGCTGTCACTCACCCCAACTCCCCCAAACCCAGCCCACACCCATCGGCCACACTGTGGCCCAGATTCCCCAGCTCCTCCAATGACTACCTCCTCTCTGGGGACCACACCGGGGATACAGAGGAGCAGAGACAGGCTGGGTGTCCCAGGAGGCAGATGTGGGGGGGAGACAGCACAAGGGCTGCCCCTGTGGTGGTTCCTGCACTCAGCCTGCTTTTGGGTCTATCACTGGGCCCCGCCCACTCCGGGCTAGAGCGCAGGCGGCACACCGGCCTCCCCCAGCCCCAGGGCTGGAAGGCAGGTCGCCTCGGCTCTCCTCGGAGACCCCACCCGCCTCTGCACGTGGGCAGGGCCGTCCCCAACCCTCCCCTCCCCTCCCCTCACGTGTGCCGCCGCCGCAGACAGGGTTTCCCTTAAACCTCCCTCCAGAGTCTCCTCCGCGGGTCTCCCAGCGCCTAAGCCCGCGCTGGGGGGACGGAGGGGGACAGAGGCCTGGTTGGGCTCCCCCCTTCGGGCTCGGCATCCCCCTTGCACCGAGGGGCTGCTCCCCAAGGCCTGCGCCCTCCGTCCCTGTCGCCGGCACCTGTCCTGGGCGCTGGCCCGGGGTGCACCCCCCTCCCCCGCGATCCCCGATCCCCGCTCAGGGTCGCAGCGCCCGGGACCCCCGGAGATCCCGCGGCCCGCGCCAGGCAGAGCCCCCGGGGGCGCGCCCGCCCCGCCGCCCCGCCCGGGCCAGATGCGCCGGCCCGGAGCGCAGACAATAGCCGCCTCCGGCCGCCGGCGGCTCCGAGAAACAAAAGCGGGTCCCCCCGGGAGGGCCGGCGCCCCGCCCGCCGCCGCCGGTCCCGGGACCAAGTTCCCTCCAACCTGTCTGAGTTCGGCCGGCATCGGGCCGGCGGGGGCGGCGCGGGCCGGAGGTGGGGCGGCGGCGGCCGGTCCGGGCTCGGCTCCGGAGCCTCGGCGGCTGGGCTCCGGCTCCGCGGACTCGCACCCCGCGGGGGCGGGCCTGGCGGCGGCCGCGGCGAACAGCCAATCGGGCGGGGCCGCGCCCAGGCGGGGCGGGGCGGGGCGGGGCGGGGGCGGGGGCGGGGCCGGGCCGGGCGGAGCTCTGCAGCCTGGGCTGGGCGAGGCGAGGTGGGGGGGCGGGTCTGCCCTGCAAAGGGTCCCCGGGCTCCTCATCCCTCCCCGTACCCCACTTCCCCGCGAGGGTGATATTTTTCCTGCCCAGAGATGGGCCCAGTCCCTCTTCCCGGGCTTAGGTCCGTCCCCAGTAAGAAAGCTCACACACACACCCCCTCCACCTCCCCACCCCACCCCCGGGAGAGTTGAGGAAACAACTGGGGCAATGCAGGATCCAATGTGGCAATGGACAGAGTGCAAGACCGCTCTCTGCTCCTCCTGGCTGCGACTCGGTTTCCCCTTGCTGTGAAATGGGGGCCGATAAGACAGCGGTTACTACCGTGGCAGTGCCGCAAAGGTCTCTCAGATCCCGCTCCAGGCCAGCTGCCCATCCCCAAAAGGCCTAAGTGTCCCCACAGAGCTCAACGGAGACCTGGCCAAGGGACCTGCACTGACCCACTTTGTCTTGGGTTTTCTCCCTCAAGGCCCAAGCCCAGCATCTCTCCACCCTCTAAGGAGAGTCAGAGCAGACCAGGGGGGGAGGGGGGCGAGCGGGGGGAGGAAGGCAGAGGGAGACTATTGGTGACCCTGGGTGAAAGCTTTTGAGGCTGAGTTGCCTCAGACACTCTCCCTTCCATGTCTTTGATCTACTAGGAAGTGGGGGTGATGGTGTGTGTGGAGGGGAAGGGGGAGTAGAGGGTTAATCAGGATACCCTCCCCCCTCCTCCCAGAAGCCTGCTGAGAAGGTGAAGCCACACCCTGGGGAGTCTGGCTCCGATTGAAAGAAATGTAGACAAGAAAAGGGCTGGCTGGGCCACCGCTTGGGTCACATCCCACAAAAACAAGCCCGGTGGCTCTTGCATTCTAATCAAGGTAACCTAACCAGGCGCCGGAGGCACAGAGCTGGGCCAGCCCAGGGAGGTTCCCTGTGTCAGTAAAGAGAGGTGGCCAGGCCTCCCATCGCCTACCTGTTTCTCCGCGGGCACCACTCAGAGCCACCACAGGGCCTCTCCTCCCACAACACGCCCCGTCCACAGACCACGCAGCCAGCATGCGTGAGCACTCGGGGTGTGCACTGCGTGTCCCTCTGAGCCTCCGTTTTACCACGGGCACAGGGGGGAGATGACCTGACCACTGGCCCCTATATCCTCAATCCATGGCAGCCCTAGGTGGAGCAGAAGCAAGGGGGCTGGGGGGCAGACACAGGAGGACGGACCGCTGCCCTAAGGTCACGTGGCCTGGATGCTTACATTGGGTTCATGTCTGTCTTCTCCCAAATCACACCAGCTGCCAGTGCCCCAGCCTGAAGCTGGGTAGACGATGACCGCCCCACCTCCACTCCCTACACACACACACACACACACACACACACACACACACGCACACAGTCTGGTGAGGGCCAGTCCTGCTCCAGGCAGGTGTCTGGAGGAGGGGACTCTTCCTGCTGAAGGATGAAGGGCAGGCCACCAGGACCGCGGCACAGTCCTGGGGGGTGGGGGTAGCCCCTGGCAGCAGTAGCCCCCGGCCTCTCAGCCCCCGTGGTCCAGCTACCTGCTCCCAAGCTGTGCAGAGCCCAGCTGTGGCCCTGAGGAGCAGCTCCCAGGAGCTCTGTGGCTCAGCAAGGAGGTCACGAGGACCCCTCGTGCTGAGACGGATCTGGAAAGCAGGGTTGGCATGGAGGTTGCTAGGACTGGACAGCCAGACGTGGTCCCACCTCCCCCACAACCCCCCTCAGGCCTGCCAGTCTAGCCACCGCCCTGGGAACACACTCTCCCATCTCAGCTTGAGAAAACCATATCCTCCCAATAGAAAAAGCGGAGGGCAGTCTGGGAAAGCCTTGTGCGGAGAGGGGGGGGGGGTGGTGGCCTGAGGTCTCCCCTGCCCCGCCCCCAGGAGGCCGGGGCAGCTCCAGGCCATGGGAACATCTTCCCTCTTCCCTCGGGGGCATCAACCCTTGCCGGTGCCCTCTGGGCTGAAGGCCCAAGCCTTTTCCGGCCTGGAAGGGCTGGACAGAGCTCCTGGCGCCTGAGGGGCAGCCTTGGGGTCATTGGCTGTTGCTGTCCCCATGTGACCCAGTTATAGGCTGTTCTGCCCTCCTTCACCTTTGGAGGGCTCGGCGGGACCAGAGAAGGGAGGATGTGCATGTGCATGGGGAAGCATCAGGAGGAGAACTCCGGGGACCAAGTTTAGGAGAGCAATCCTGCTGTCCGGCCCAGGAACCCGAGGAGCCTACGGGGAGCGCCTCCAGGGTCACTGCGAGGAACCCAGGGGAATATTCACTCCTATGCCCCCCCGAGGCCAGTGAGCCTAGTGGTGAGGAGGGGGCACCGTGGGAGGCCTGCAGGGTGGGATCCCCACACAGGGACCCTACTTCCAGCTCCTCCTACGTTCCCGGGCTAGCTCCACCCTGCCTGTCCCCCACCCCGTGCCTCGGTTAATAGGGAGATCCAAAATAATCTTGCCAAGCTCCAGGAGTCCCGCATTTCTTTGTCCTGCCCCTACCCACCCCGTGAGCGAGGTGCTTCTGTAACTGGTCTGCAGGTCAGGCTCTGGGGCAGAGCGGGTGGCGGGAGGAGTCCTGGTGGCCTGACTCCTAACCATGAACCTCAGTTTTCAGGGTCTGGCCACAAAGCGGACAGGGTTCCACACCTCTTGGGGGCTGATCAGGGGCCAGATACCCGTCTGAGGGTAACAGTCGGTGGAGACACTGAACTCCCAGGTGAGCCTCTGGGCTGCAGGCAGAGCACAAGACCTTGCTGGGGCTGATGCATTGGTGCCCGCTAGGAAGGTAGCCATGGCAGGGCGACTCCAGGGCTGGCAAAACCCTCAGTGTCGCCATGCTGACCACGGAGGTGCCCAGGATGGACCCTGTTCAGCTGCCTGGGTTCTGGGGGCTCACTCAAGTGGAGGGTCAGGTTGTGTCCTGCCCATTCATCGCATGGTGCCCTGCACACCCACCTGGGATTTCAAGTCCCTCTGGGATCCCCCTTTTCTCCTCCCCCCCCCCAGAGACCCCAGGCGGTCTTGCAATTAAGCCAATGCATGCTCGCCTGTGGCCCACCAGGACACCTCGACTGTTTTCCCACGTGACCATTTGACCCTTCCTGAGCCCCTGGGCTGTTACCTGCAAGACCAGCTGTTGCCAGGCCATCGGCAGGGGCTGCCCGCTGCCCACGCCGCCGCTGCCCACGCCGGGCTGCTGGGCGCGCTCCAGCTGCAAGGCAACATGGCGCCGCTCCTGCTCTAGCGCCCGCGTCAGCCGCTCAAAGCGAGCCTCCTGCTCCTTCACCGAGGCCAGGATGCTGGCGGCCGAGTGCACGTTGCAGTCCTCCATGGCCAGGACGCCTGCCGGCTGCAGGCAAAGCAGAGCAAGGTCAAGGGTGGGCCCGAGGCGGAGGGCACCGAGGGCCCCCTGCCAGCCCCACTCGCCAATCACACAACTCACTCCCACGCGGGAGCGTCCAGCTCTCGAGAGGGAAAGCCGCATTGATTAAATTCTAAATTAAAAGCCATTCATCTGAGGCTGGCCGGAAGCAGCCGGCTCCTTCCCGGTGGGGTGTGGGGCTCTGCTCCGGGGCAGGCTCAGCAGAACCGTAGACTATTGGGGGGTCCTGGGAGCCCACTTGGAAGGGAAGGGCCAAAAGAGCTGGGTGTGACCAGCCCTCAGACCTCCCAGGCCCTCTGCTGCCCACAGCACATGCCAACCCACCCCATCTCATGGGGCCAGCCCAGGCTCCTCTCACTGAGGTGAAGCTGGGGCCCAGAGAGGTTGGGGGACCTGCCCATAGCCACACAGCCGGCATGGCAGAGCCGATGTGCCGGTGAGCCGGATGTCAGCTGTCCCTGCCCAGGCACCAGCTGCACCCGGGACACCCAGGCAGGCACAGGAGTGACACTGGCCTTCAGACCAGCGATCCGGCCTCCACTCACAGCTATGCCGGCTGGAAGAGGGTGACGTCTGCCCGCACGGCAGAGTGAGAGCCGCGTGCAGCGTGGTTGTGATGCTGCGCCTGAGAGTGGCCCGTGAATACTGGACCCGGAGGAGGCTGAGGGTAGGGGGGCCAACAGGGCCAGGCCTGCCTGGGTCCGGGCCCGGTGCTTCCCTTGCAAGTCCAGGGGATGGGGAGGGGAGGGGATGGCAAAGCCTGGCAGCTGCAATGACAAGCCAGGTTCCTCACCGCTTGCTCCCTGGCTACTCAGTGTGATTGCCTTTCATGGGCAAAAAGAGGCAGAAGGAGCATCTGGCGTTCACACCTAGCCGAATAGGGAGTTCACACCCAGCCACATGGGGTATAGGCCATGTGGCCACCCTGCCAGGCACTTAGTGTGCCCCATGGAGCCAGTGCTGCTCAGGGCATCCTCCTGATCCGACCCGCACCAGGCCACTGAGGCTGCCTCCGCTGCCCTCCACTCGTGTAAGGCCTGAGCTTAGAGACACAGCACAGTGGGCAGCACGTGAGAAGGTCCAGCTGCAGGGGCCGAGCCCTTAGAGGAAGGTCAGTGCTAGGCTTGCCCCACTGATGCTGGCTGGGCCAGGGACACTGTGGGGGTATGGGTGCGCCTCCAGTTTAAAGAACACCCCAGAGTCCAATCCACCGTGACAACCGGGGAAACTGAGGCCCAGAGAGGAAAAGAGGCCAGCATGGGTCCCAGAAGCTGCTCTTCATTTCCCCAGAACCAGTCACACAAACAAACTGCCAGTGTGGCCTGGAGGAGGGGCGGTGAGAGGTCCTGGCACTCACAGCGAGGTGGGGGTGCCGTGGGCCAGC